TAACCAAAACACATTGGTGGTTTACTACACCATGTAAACAAAAAGTAGGAGCAAAAAGAGTAGCTAATAAGAACAGAAAAAATACCCCATGGATTAAAGGAAGTGAAAAAATTACTCAAAAACTACAAAATATTAAGGAAAGTACATGGGAATTATGCTTAGCACCGAGTGGATAGTGATATGAGATGGAAGCCCACACGATAGTAGAGGACGGGTTTCTAGTAACAATCTCTTGGGATGGAAGCCCTTTACGTTAGTAGAGGTCAGGATTTCTAGAAGCAATCCCCTTATCCCATAAATTATGTGGCCACGTAGCTCTTTAGCTAGTGGATCCACCTAAAAGCTAATAGTTGAGTTCTACCTTTGGCAAGTAGGACAACTCATTTTCGTTGTGGGGTAGACACCGGATTCCATAATTAAGCTTTCATGGTCTCTGTCGGTTAAAGCTAATCCCACTAAGATAGAATGAACTTGAATTGGAGTTATGAACAACAATCAGCTAATAATCTTTCGTTAATGTGTCTAGGAGTATGGGATCTTATTCATACATTGCACAAGGATTCTTTGAGGGTACTTATGGTTTTTTTTTAATTATTATGAGATGATCAATCTGTTGAATATACTTGTATCTTATCTTTTTACACTAATTTTCATGATGAACTCTAAATTTGGTAAAGTGCATAGTTTTCAATTAAATTGTCTAATATAAAACTAGTAGGCTAAGCTAGAGCTTGACATTAGAATTAGAGCCTTAAAAATACCTCCCCATACCATAATTTCATGGTTTGGTGTTAGGATGACAAGGCCTAAACCCCAAGGACCAACAATGGGTCCTTGAGGAATGGTCCAAAATTAGTCACCTGGGCAATGACTCACAAGGGAACCTACACCCCGTAGGTCCACCCACGCCCCGTAGGTGGGGTTCGTGGGTCATTCCCCAATAATTCAAGCCCTAGACCATGGACCTGCAGGACGGATAGTAGGTCCATCTACGGTCCGTAGGTCACCAATCTTAAGTCATGCCTGAAACCTCCACTTGGCAGTTAAGGCTAGGGGTTCTTTTTTAATTTCCTTTTTATAAAATAGTTATGTGGTGTCATATTAGGCCTATTTTAAACAACTATATATGTATTTTTCCACGTTAATTAACCCATCTAAAGTCATAATTCATAAATCCCCAAAACAAAATTAAAACCTCTAAAAATTTCTCTCACTAAAACCTCCATTGAAGAAGAAGAAGAAGTTGAAGTTTAGGGCTCAAGAACTCATATTTTCTACCCAAATTCGTGAGGAATCTTCATCTAAGGTATGGTAGTCTTTGATTCATGGTTAGCTTTCAGCCATGAAGTCCTCAAACTCTCAATTTCAAAGTAGAAAAGTCTCCAAAACCTAGGGTTTTCACTCCAAGCCGTGGATTCTTTCTAAAAATGTTTTCATTGATTTATTTATCATATATTATGATTGAATTATTGATTACTATAGCTTTTATGATAAAAATCTCCTATGAATCCATGAACTCCCCTTAACTATAATTTATGACTTGTGAATTTGGTAAATTGTACTTACTATGAAATTGTAGTTATAGTAGTTTAGTTAATTGAATCATCTCACCATCTATATCTAATGTAGTAATTCTAGAATTGATTGGTTGAATGTGATTTGTAGCCCTTGAAGGGTAAAACATGGGTATTAGCTATGTGTATGAGACTTGTGTGTATACAATTAGATTGCTTTTAGACTAAAGTGAATACATTATAATCTAATTGTTGTGTTGATTGGATGATTATCCTTACTTGCACACTTAGGTATGAATATCATACAATGTGAAAGGTTTGTCACATGTAGTGATTCTAAGGGTTGAAGACTAGTCTCCCCTAATGAATCTAGGAGCTTTAGCATGAGTTTGTTGGATTAAGTGTCAAGACACCTTTTCCATAATTATCACTTTAAGTCAAGACTTAATATAAACTGAATGGGAATTATGCTTAGCGCCGAGTGGATAGTCGTATGAGATGAAAGCCATTAGGATAGTAGAGGCCGGGTTTCTAGTAACAATCGCTTGGGATGGATGCCCTTTACGTTAGTAGAGGTCGGGTTTTCTAGAAGCAATCCCCTTATCCCATAAACTATGTGCCCACATAGGTCTTTAGCTAGTCGATCCACGTTAAAGCTAATAGTTGAGTTCTACCTTGGGCAAGTAGGACAACCCTTTTTCGGTGTAGGGTAGACACCGGATTTCGTGATTAAGCTCTCATGGTCTATGCCGGTTAAAGCTAATCCCACTATGATAGAATGAACTAGAATTGGAGTTATGAACTATAATCACTTAATAAGCTTTCCTTAGTGTGGTAGGAGTATGGGATCTTATTCATACATTACACAAGGATGCTTTGAGGGTACTTATGGTTTGTTTCCATTATGATGAGATGATCACTATGTTGAATATGCTTGTATTTTATGCTTTTACACTAATTTTCATGATGAACTCTAAACTTGGTAAAGTGCATAGTTTTCAATTAAAATGTCTATTTTTAGCATATTTAAAGGTTTTCATGCATAGCTACCATACTTGGTGCATTTTTGTCCTAACCCATATTTCTTCTACATTTTTCTACAAAGTGTAGGTTCTGGCATTTGAGGTGATCTTCCTTCTAGTTCAAAGCTTGGATTGACTATTCTCCAAAGCTTGTGGTATGTCCTCATGGATCCGAGGAGAAGTGCTATATTGTTGTTTCATTTCTTTCATTGTACTAGACTTTCGGATTTCCTATTGTAAGGGTTGTGACCCTATTTTGAGACTTCGATAGTAATAGATGGCTAAATGAGACTATTTCTAGACTTCCGCTTTGTTTTTATGAAAACTTCTTAAGACTTGAAAATGTGTTTTACTCTTTATTATTCTTTACTTATGTGATGATATGCTAAGTGACTTACATAGTGCCTTTAGGGGTGTTATGTGCCATGTTACGTCTAGGGGGTACCCTTGGGTTGTTACACAATAAGTGGCTGGAGGGTAATTTTTTACAATTTCAAATAGTTCAAGGGTATTTAAGGCTCATTTCACTTTTATTATAAATAAATTAGTTGTTTCGCAAATCAATAAAATTATTTTTGAATGGAGGCAAATACAATTTTTCTGCTATTTTAAAGAAGCTAAAAATTTATGCTTTTTAGAAAATGTAGGAGGAGAATCAAAAAATAAAATAAAATTTCAAGACCAAAATATCCCTAACATATATACATATTTATCAATGAATCACTTATATTTATTTCTTTGTTTGGTGGATTTAATTTGTGAAATAGTTTTAAGTTTATTTTGTTTGATATTTTTAATTATATATAAATCATCATATAATATTATATAAAAAAAATTGTATTCATCTTTGTGTAATATAGATTGAAAATTTTAATATGTATATGGTAATTTAATCAAAAAAATTATAATAGATGTTTAAAATAATTTCTCTTTAAAAATAATAGTAATATTAAAAGTGCATTGACACTTTTCCTTTTTCATAATTTGATTTTCAAAAGTACTATTTTAAAAAGATTACCCAAATACATTTGGATTATCAAATGCACTTTTCAAATGAATTACAAAATACAAATTATTTTTTCGAAAGTAGTTTTCTGCAAAGTTATTTTTTAAAAATGCTTCTAAAAAGAAGTAGATTTTAGCAACAATGTCAAATATGCTCTTAGAACTTTACAATTAAGTTTTTTTTTTTTTTTAATTCAAGGTAGCAGCTAATCATTAACATTGTAAGTAAACACTAGAAATAAATGTTTTTTCACAATGGAGGAGAGTAAAGGGAGCTTAATATTTCCAGATCACACAACACAGTGCTTAAAGATCGAACGAGAAGAAGCAATACAAAATTCATAAGTTTCAGCTGTTACTCGTCGTCTTTGTAAGGATATTCCTCAGGAACCTGCTTCAGAAGTTTCAACTGCAGCTCGAATGCATCATCGCCTCTAAGCATATCACGGATCCATGTGACTTCAGTCTTCATTGACACCATCTCTAATGCCCCTCTGATTACTCCACTTAAGATGTTACAATAATATAGACCTTGACATGTATCAGGGAGCTCAACAAAGTCTACCAAGGGGTTGTCCTCCAGAATTAAACTGCACGTTGTTCCCTCAGCATTCCAATTTCCCACAGTTGCTGTGACACCTAGGAACATTTGAGGCCAACTTGGCAATGACTTCAGCTGTTTCCTTGAAATCAATACACCTAGAAACGTTAGATTTTGCCAGAAACTCATCAATGAGCCGAATTCCAATGTTATAACCCATTTGATCAAGCTGTTTGTTGACTTCCCTCAAACCTCCTCCAGATCAGTAAGCAGTTGTCGCACGATCGCACCGTACCTTATGGTAAAAAGTTCAGCATTCACTCGTTCAACGTTGGCGAAAATGGCGTCGCCGGATCTGGGAGCTACGGGAGCCATTATCAGAGCTCTGAGAATTAAGTTTTTCATGTATATAGTATCACCCAACAAATAACCGTTCAAACTTTAAAGCATGTATAGATAGCTCAGGTTTTACAACTTACTTCACTGTAATCAGACTACATGGACTATAATTACAATGATGAACCCTTGCACTAGCAAAATTTCGCAATTTAACAAAGTTTCAAAATTATGCCGAAATTCACTTGAGCTCCTCGGTTCCCAACTCAAACCATGATAACAAGTCCAAAATCATATTGTTTATTTATGCACAGTCTCAAAAAAATAATATGAAGAATTATGATATAAACTGTGGGCTTAAGTTATCACAACAAAATGCATAGTATCTTGTATATAATTGCTATTAGAAATACATCCATAGAGGGTATTGACATATACAATATGTTCACAAAAAATAATATTATTTATTCCACATGCTAGCTAGAACTAGCCAATTATTTGTCACACAAACATATACATATTTTATTCAACATTATTTATTCTACATGCTAGCTAGATCTAGCCAATTTTTCATCACACAACCACACATATATTTTATTCTAGATTATTTATAATACATGCTAGCTAGCTAGAAGTAGCAAATTATTCATCACACACACAAACACACACACGTGTATATTAATTCTTTAGAAGGTGACCCTCTATATCCTTTATTAGGTTAAGGATAAAACCTAAGTGAATGAGGGGCTCTGGGGTATCTTCAGTTTTCTTTTCGTATTCATATGTCCAAGTAGTCCATTGATGATCACAAGATGTTGCTACATTAAAGTAATTATACAACTCTAATAAATCTCCTTCAATCAGTTTCCATGTAATTGATTTGTTTTCAGGATCAACAGCTTCAACTAAGTACTTCATGTACATTTCCTGTCCACCTATAATCATTAAACAAATACAAGAGGTGTTGTAAGAAATTAAAGTTTTCACTTTCTCATGAAAGATTTAAACATTTTCAAAATATTGTCTTTGTATAAAAAAAAATTCCAAACTAAATTTTCATGGAAAACTCTCTAATACTTATGAATTTTTGATTTTCTATCGTATGAACTTTGGATTGTCTAGTTTTCTTGAGTGGAGTTTTCTGTCAAAATCTCAAACTAAAAAGAAGCTAAAGTTATGGAGAATTACCAAAAGCATATTCTATTAAATATTAATAAAAATATTTACTGTTATACATATTTTAATTTACTAAAATTTATTATGAGTAAAGATTATTAAGTAATGTCGTGTTGAAGCCAAAAAAATAAATGCAAATGTTAAAATAATTTAAATAAAAAAATTCTTCCACCCACAATCGAAAGATGTCGTAGTCCTTTTCAAAAACATCATTTTATGAAAAGTTAACTTTCATATTAGTTAATATTAAATAGTTCCAAATATCGATAATTGATGCAACTAAATCATATTGACTAATAGAAAGAGAGATTATAGAAAATGTATATTACCTTCATTATATTTCCAGCTAATAATTGAACCAGCCTTTATAATTTCACCTTCATGAATCTCAAAATGGTGAATATTTGTAGGACTTATATTGGGTACATGGTGATTATTGGTATGAAAAATATCAAAAAGCGAATGTCCTCCACATTTCACCTCCATTGAAGCTATCAACTTACCTTTCGTGCCCATATTTTTTACTTCTCAAGAAAAGGAATAAGTTGTTACAAGAAATTGGTGAGAAAATATTTAGGACTTTGTAGTCTTTATAGATTTTAATTAAATGTTGATAGCTATCTAGTAGGAAATATTATTCACCCCATATTTACGAGTTACTAACATTTTGCACCCACACCGTATTATCATTATAGTGATACACACCTTAACCTATTTTAAAAAATGACTCTGCTACCTAAACTTTTGTTTTACGACAAACCATTCAAAAAGAACCTATGAGGAATCATACATATTCACCTTTTTTTAAAATCATAATGAAAATTTATATGCTAAACACAAAATCTTTGATTGATGAGTATTTCTCTGATAATTTTCTTTTTCTTTTAATTAATTATACTAAATAAATCTAAACAAACATTTATCAATATCTTACGGGCCTGTTTTGAAAACCACCCTGGTAATTAGATTTGGTGTAATTGGGTATAATTACACTGTCCATCCTATTTGGCTGGACATGTAATTAATTGATCAACAGGTAATTGGTGTAATTGACAGGGGGTAATTACACTCTTCAATTCAGAGGGAGAGGTTGTGAATTGTTGGTAATTACATGGTGTAATTACCAGCTGATTACTTTTAATTTCTTCTTTTTATTTCTATTTTTATTTTTTGTTTTAATTTTTTTATTTCTATTATTTGTAGTACTTTTTTATTTTTATTATTCTAAAATTTTCTAAAAGTTTATTTTTTATTATATATTATTATATTTCATTTTTTTTCTCATTCTCAACCTTACTTCACGTGATTCTATGCAATTTTTTTGTATTATATATTTATTTATGTCATTCTTATTTTCTCATTAGCATAATTTTATTAGTACTATAATTTTTAAATTAAAATAGAATTTATTGTTACATAAGGTTATAGACTTACTTTTTAAAAAAAATATCATATTTTTGTATGCTATGTTGAAATTTGCGATAAGAGTCTTATGTTAAATTTTTATTTTGAATTTATAACTTATGTTATATTTTCAGTTTCATTTGTTATAGTAATATTGATTTCACATTGCAAGTCATTTTTTAATTAGATTTGATAGATTATCTTTTTGTCAAACATTTAAATAATTTATGACATTTTATTTACACATTAATATTTTTATCAAACATGCATTTCATGAAATTCAATTGAAATATATAAATTTTAAAAAATATAAATCAATTATGTTTTCATAGTATTAGTTAAATCATATGTTTATTAATTAATATATTTTCAAAAAGTAATATATATCTTAAATATTTAATTTAATATCATTTAAAAAGTTTCTTATTTGTCTACTATAAAATTTAAATAATTAATTTTAACTTTTAAATTTTAATATAATTTTATTATTGCAATTGTACATCCAAATAGAACATGTATAATTATATTGTGGCATCCAAACAGGATATGTGTAATTACAGTGCAATTACACTAAGGCAAACCAACAGGTCAGTGTAATTACTTGATTGCGTAATTACTAGGCTGATAATTACTACCCTAGTAATTACACCAATTCCAATTATCAGGTGGCTTTCCAAACAGACCCTAATGTTTTTTTTGTCCATATGCTCTTCCTTTTCTTTTATGTTCATTATCTATTCATTGGATTCAATCTAATACACTCTTATTTCCCCTTCTATAATCGATAAAGAAGTTTTATCAAATAAATGCACTTATATGGACAAACAACTAATGGTTAAATTATAAATTTTGGTGAATTAGAATTTTTTGAAGAGTTACAACTTATAATCTGTCACTCTATATATGTATTCTGCTTCAACGAACTAAGGTTTACGAAAAATAGAGGAAGGGGAATAAATGATTTATGGAGAGAAAATGTCCAAAACAATCCTGAAATTGAAAATCGTTCATAGTATTTTACATGGTGCATTAATTTTCCTTCGTAATTGTAATGTTGGAGTAGTTTTGGCTTTCCCTTGAATATTTGTTTCTCTTTAAACTTTGAAATAAGGAATACAAGACACATTTTATGTCACGACCCAAAGTACAACATCATGCAAGCATCTTCTTTATTATTAACTAGATAGGATTATCGTTATCATTCACCCAAGAATATGAAAATAAATAAATTAACAGTACTTTTAATGAATAATTGATGTCATTATGAGTAATAATCATAACAAAACAACTCCAAAGTCCAAGTCTAGACATGTATAATCACTTCTAAATAGAGAAAGACAAAAAAGACACTAACTTCCGACGGAAAGAGAGATGCAAAAGTTGTAAATGACTAATCACTACTAAAATACTACTAAAAAATTATGGACAGAAAAGCGACACCATTTGCCACATTGTCCGTCGCTTTTTAATAAAAATAAATATTATTAAAATTATTTTACAAAAAGCGATGGACGGCATCTCTTAGTCCGTCACTTTTTTCACAGATTTTTGCGTCATATATATATATATATATAATAATTAATTATTTAATATAGTTAGAGACGGTGTCCGTCGCTTTTTAATAAAAATAATTATGTATAAATTAATGAATAACCACGTCATCTGTCATTTTTAATTATTTTGAATTTTTAAATTATTTTTAAAAGAAGCAACGGACAACATCTTTATGTCTGTCGCTTCTTGGTCAAAATATATAGTCAAATATTTTTAAAAACGGCAGACAGTTTCTCTTAGTCTGTCGCTTTTTGGTCAAAATGTTGGTCAACTATTTAAAAGAAAGCGACGGACAAAGAAACGTTATCCGTCGCTTTCCTTAAAATATTTGAAAGAAAGATGCAAATTTTCCCCCATTTTTCCTTCTCTTTGTTCTCTCTTCCTTCTATATAAAATCGCCGGAGACGCCGCCCTAGCTATCACCTCTTCCGTTATCGCCGTTGCCGCTCCTCTCGTCGCCGTTGGTGTTGCCTCCATCTCCCTCTCCATTGTCTCTTTCTCCTTTAATATAAGGTTAGGGTTTCATCAAATTAGTTTTTAATATTTTCAATTTGAGTTATATTTGATTTTGTTAATTATTTTATTGAATTTGTATTTTATTGAATGATTGATTGTGTTTGTTAGCGAATGAATTAGGGTTTTTTTATTTATTTTAGTCCTAGTTTGAATTTGAAAATATTTAATTTGATTGTGAAATGGGATTTTTTTTTTATGTTTTATTGATTGTTAGTTAGTGAATTGTTAATTTTAAGTTAGAAGTTAGTAATTGATGAAGTGTTTTGAGTATAGGATGAATGTTTGAATGTCATGAATATATATTGATCGGTGAGTTTTTCTTTTAATTAGAACTTGAATATATATAACTAATTATTGGATTAGAAGTTTATATATAATTAATTTTATAGATTAGATATGAACTTGAATTAATTAGAACTTGAATTTGAACTTGGAACTTGAATATAATTAATTCTTGGATTAGAAGTTTATATATAACTAAGGTTAGAAATTAGATATTACTTGAATTTAGAACTTGGACTTATTAAAACTTGAATATATATAACTAATTCTTGGATTTGAAGTTTATATATAACTAAGGTTAGAAATTAGATATTACTTGAATTTAGAACTTGAACTTATTAAAACTTGAATATATATAACTAATTCTTGGATTTGAAGTTTATATATAACTAATTTTAAAACTTTGATATGAACTTGAACTTGAACTTAAAATTTGAATATAATCAATTCTTGAATTAGAATTTATATATAACTAAGTTTAGAAATTAGATATGAACTTGAATTTAGAACTTGAACTAATTGAACTTCGAACTTGAATATAACTAATTATTGGATTTGAAGTTTATATATAAGTAATAATTTTTATATGAACTTGAATTTATAACTTAAACTTGAACTTGAACTTCAATATAACTATTTCTTGATGACCTTAATTAATTAAAACTTAATAATTGAAAGTAATTAGAACTTGAACTTAATTAATTAGAACTTTGAACTTAATCTGAACTTTGAAGTATTTAAAATATTATTGACCTTAATATATTTGAACTTAATTATAACTTTGAACTTAATTTATAATAACTTGAACTTAATTAGAAATATAATTAATTATTTGAAATCTTAAACTTAATTAAAATTTATGAATTAATTAAGCTTGAAGTTTGTAGATCTTGAAATGTTGTATTTATGAACTAATTAATTAGATATATAAGTAACAATAAATATAATTATTAAGTAATTATAAATATATATTAACAATATAAATTAGTTTAATGTAGTTAAATTATTATTAGATTTAGTTTATAATTGAATATCTATATATATATATATATATATTTGTATATGTACCGTAATGGATTTAAGCGTAGATATTTTGTATGGGTTGATGATGGAGAAAGAGATGGATTGAATGGTATGTTTTATAATTCGATGTCTATGGATGATTATAATATGCTTGCATCACATGGACAAATTAGGATTGAACATGATAGGGTTCATGAAATGATCAATGATGCTTTCAGGGTTCAAGGTGGGATGAAAACCAAACAATACTTTGATGAAGCTTCTAATGAATGAGCAAGACGCTTCTATGGTCAATTAGAAGAGTCTAGTCCTCCACTATGAGAAGGGAGTCCGTATTTTGCCTTGTCAATTGCGGTTAGATTAATGAATATTAAATAAGATTGGAATGTTCCTAATGCGGCTATGAACTCAATGGTTGATCTTTTGGGTGAACTAGTTAATCCAAAGTTTAACGTACCTAAGAAATTCTATCAGGCAAAGCGTTTGGTTTCCAAGTTAGGATTGACATATGATAGAATTAAGTGTTGTGTTAATGGTTGCATGTTGTTTTACAAGACTGATAGTCAATTAAGAAAATTGTAAGTTTTGTGGACATGCTCATTATATGAGGACTTTTGCTGAAAAGATGGTCCCAGTTAAGGTGATGCATTTATCTACCTCTTATTCCTAGTTAAAGAGGTTGTATGCATAATCTTGATGTGATGCACATTAATTTTATTTTTTTTGACAATTTGATTAACACAGTGATGGATGTTAAGGGA